TAGTGAGGGTCGAAAAAAAAAAACTAAAAAATTAAATTACATAATTTTTAATAGCAACAGAGTCGTCAAACATACATACCCTATTTGAAAATGAGATTTTAGTTAACTGCTTGATTGGAGCCCCCACATAAACATTATCTAATTAGTCAATCGACATGTTAACCATCACCAGTACATTAAAACGGGATGCATGTAAAAATTTTCAATTGAACTTTTGTAAAACCACGTTTCATATAAATTTCGCCGTGAATATGATTATTTTAACACAACTGTCATCAACATATTACGAAAACAAAATAAAAAAAATTTGGCTCACGTATGTAATAATAAACATTTCGTATGAAGTCCCCCCCCCACCCACGCCAAGTAATACTATACCTATGCGTACACGTATACACTTGAGAATTTGGCTATGCGTAGGTATAATATATTGTAACATACGTAAACGAAAGGGACGTACCTTGTTATTTATACATATATTTACATCATTATCGTGCATGATGTGATGGATCGCTGTATGTGCGCTGTCGTCGTCGTCGTCGTTTGTCCCCTCACGTTGTAAGTACCGATCTCTTTCTCGCTGATGTGGAATCGTGTCATAACCCAAGGTGTGCCTATATACATGTCTACATGTATAGGTGTCCGGAACTCTTATTTACGCTTCCGTGTCTCGTGTGTATGGGTTTAATGGACGAGACAGTCGGAGCTCCGTGTGTGAAAAAAAAAAAAAAAAAAGGATGCAGCAATGTTGACGACTTGGCGCTTAGTACGTTGAAAAAATAATAAAAAACAAAAACAAAAAAAACACATTTAATCAAGACTGATTTCGCATCAGTTGAGTAATGAGTACAGCTTTTAGTTGCGCTTTTTTATATATATATATCATCGTTACACCGTTACGTAGATTTATTATTACTATTGTGATTGGATATGAATCTAATGTAAAGGGTTTCATGCTTCGTTTGAATGTAAAAATGTAAAAATGGGCTTGGTTGGCATTATGATTTTTTTTTTTTTTTTTTTTATTGCGTAAAGTATCATTCTAAAAGCGTTTCATTAGACGGATTTCCTTGTGATTGCGCCGGTGTCGTGTCGAACAATGTCAACGATCGAGCTTGTGTGAAAAGTTCCAACTGTATTTTATGTCGATGGATATTATGTATTCGTTTATTACAATTTGTAGAGCCGTTTGGCCAATTGTATTTATTACCAAAATATTTGTCTACGAAAAATATTAATTGATGCAATTGAAAACAAAAAGTCAACGAGGGCTTGTTTTGGAACGTCAACATTCACGTGTTTATTTTTAATCATGAAAACAAACAGTTTAATTACTTAATCGGAATAAAAAGATGATAAGTAATGAAAGAAATCCATACATCGGTGCAGAGTAAACGCGTTTAAAATTTCCAAGGTAGTGTATACGAGATTTTTTTTTAATTTTTCGTAGAAACTCTTTCGTAGCTAAAACTACATGCAATTTAACACTTTTTTTTATCACAAAAACAATGTTACGTAGAGCAAAATTGAAGATTTTGTTCGCCGTCACCATTAATTTTCTAACTCTGTGATGTGAAACTAAAAAATTTTTAAAAAAGTATTTTTGTAATGGAAAAATTTAGTATCGAAAAACGTATAATTTATACAAAAATAAGGAATTTTGTATGAATAACGATGATAAAATTACTGTGAAATTAATTAAACGATATTTTGATAGATTGGTAGTGAGGGTCGAAAAAAAAAAACAAAAAAATTAAATTACATAATTTTTAATAGCAACAGAGTCGTCAAACATACATACCCTATTTGAAAATGAGATTTTAGTTAACTGCTTGATTGGAGCCCCCACATAAACATTATCTAATTAGTCAATCGACATGTTAACCATCACCAGTACATTAAAACGGGATGCATGTAAAAATTTTCAATTGAACTTTTGTAAAACCACGTTTCATATAAATTTCGCCGTGAATATGATTATTTTAACACAACTGTCATCAACATATTACGAAAACAAAATAAAAAAAATTTGGCTCACGTATGTAATAATAAACATTTCGTATGAAGTGCCAAAAGTCCGGCGTCAAGCGAAATTAATTGGTTCCAACGATTAAGATGCTCAAAAAAAGTACCTACACTAACGTCGAAAAATGAAAGAAAATAATTGTGCGACATGACTCGACGACAACGGCAAGATGTATATTGTTGGCGCAAGCGGTTTTGACTTGTATAAATGACACCTTCTCTCCTCATGATGGGAACACCACCGAAAAAAAAGATGAATAATAAAAGATTAAGAGAACAATGAGCAATTATATCTGCATATTAAGCATTGCGGCTTTGTGTGCGTAAATCTGTGTATAACTTAAAGAGGACTGGCTCTTTTGCGCTTGACATGTGTACATATATATCAAATGCGTACGTGCGTCCTGATAAAAAAAAAAGAGATTGACAAAATAATGACAAAAGCAAAAAAGAGAAAATACCGTGAGGTATTAACTCGCGATGAGCAACAATATTATATATATATATATTAGGGATCGAATGCGAGCGAGTGAACGTGCATTGCGATGAAAGCGTATAACATGTATGTGTATAGAAAATTAGAGAAATCGTAATAATTATTGTGTATAATGGTAAATCATTACATGTAATAATATTAGTTATACAGTAAGTATATGAAACGTTAAACAAGATGAAGCAAAGAAAAAAATAAAATAAACAATTTCAACGTGATAATTGTATATTTCTATATGTTATGACTATTATATATATATATATATAAATATAAATATTCTAACGAGGCGAGCGAAAGAGAGAATTATATATAAATATAAGCACTATGAAAAAATGAATATAAAACGACGGAGAATTTAATGATTTAAATGAAAAACAAAAGAGCTATGTATACATAAAAACAATTATATATGTATATGATAAATAGTTGAGGCTGATACAAATTTTATATTTCATGTTACGAATATATATTAATATATACTGTGTGAAGAAAAAAAAAAAAAAAACCAAAAGATGTAAGTATTACACTGACAATTAAAAAAAACTCACCTCTAGGCGAAGACAAATACTTTTTGTGACTTTGTAATTCGTTCTGTTTTGAAAATCGGAATTCTTCCCTTTCATAAATAAAATTCATAATTTCTCCTTTAATCTCTGCGTTGTATCAATGAACATTTCCAGCACGAATTTATCCTATTTTACACATGAACACAATTATGATGTTCCTATGAAAAACACGAAAAAAACAATACATCGAAATATTAAATTCTGCTTTGTTGCAAAACTGTACAGAGGACGCATATTTCGATAAAAAAAATATAGTCAGTAAAAATATAGTTGCAGCCCAGCACGATCCGGTATCAAATGATAATAAGTAGTAAGTACATCAATGAATAAAACGCCTCACAAAGAAATCTCGCAGGTAAATAAGACTCGATTTGCCAATTGGCCGTGGGATGCTGGTTTTTTCAACAAATTTGTCGGCTATGCTAAATTCTGCTTTACTCATTCTCTCTACGTACTACGAGTTTTATCGTACGTTTTCTACTTTTGCAATGTGAGATTGTATAAATTACAAAAATATACTAGATGGCGCTGATTTACAATGAAATATGGACATATCGTACGTGTTACAGTTGCACCTGCATCAGCAAAGAGTTTACTTGACAGGAGTAGCAAAGTATGTGTAGGTATGTTTGGACCGAAATTTTCCGCAATTAATTTCTAATCAATTAGAGAGAGAGAGAGAGAGAGGTTAGTCGTTGTAATGCTCGAATTCAGCACTTAACTTGTCCAAACAAGTTCCGAAATGATTATTTTTCGGCTAAATTGAGGGCGTGGCAGTTTTTACTAGAGGGTAAGTATTAAATGATAACCAATCTTACCTGTGAGTATGTTAGGTTCTCAGTTTTTCTACTCAAACTTGTTTGCCACTGTCGAGTTGCCCGTTTATTTCATGTGCTACTTGCTACTGTCAAAGGGTGTGTTGATTTGTCAACAAATAGTTTTCTGAGAATCTGTAAGTGATGTGCGGTGCAAGTGCTCTTTTTCTTTGTGTTTTTATTGTTTCTTTGTTAATGATATTTAAGTAAGTAATCTCGTCAACCTCAGATTAAATTTTCCATGGATATATCTGTATATTTTATCGATTATCTTACGAGCGTCTGGCAGTTTTGAGGTTAGGCCGTTTTGTCATTTGTGATGATATTTATAATTCCATACGTGGATTATTTTTAAAACACCATTTTCGAGCGGCGAGTGGATTTTTAAAGAATTTCATAATTGTTAATCACACGTTAACATATAAGTAGCGATCTATGAATCTTACTTTTCAAGCCAAATAGTACATACTTTGATATAAATGACAAATAATCTATGCTGCTAAAAAATTTGACAACTGATAGTTTAGGTGTATTTTTTTTTTTTTTTTTTTCATCATTTCAGACTTGAGCACTTACCTCCAGCTGTGTATATATAATGATAGAATCAAGAAGCTGTGTATCAAGTGGTTGTACAAATTAAAAACATGGATAAAAGGGGCAGTGCTGAACTTTTGAGCATAGATCAAAATAATTCCAAAAATGCTAGTTCTGATTCCCTCAATTCAGACAGCAAGAGTAGTTCGCTTAATTCCAAAATGGGACAAGAATCTGTAAGTACCATGTTACATGCTTGTACTCAATTTAAATATTGTTTAATATTCTAATAGCTCTACTAACCTTTATTTCCTACAATTGACATGTAAATTTAAATATATTTGACGTGTATAAAAACTTTAGGAATGTTGGGAAAAAGCATCTCGTTCGAAGAGCTTCTCGACAAGCTCAACCTCGACGGATAATAATATAATTTCTGCCCTAGAAACTAAAAAAGAGAATCAAGGAAAAGAGGATGTGGTAAAAATTGCCAATAAATAACGATTGACTCATGATTTTTCTTTTGTTATCAGCGTTATTTTGAGTTAACATTTATGTTTGAGTCTATACTTTTGTAGTTTTGTACATATATCCTCTAAATTGCACAAATATTATGATAATTATGTCGGTAGATACAGTATTTTTTAAATAATCGCAACGGCATACAACACCACAGTTCCAAACTTATTATTTTGGTTTTAACGCACTCTGACTGTATAATTTAATTTTCACTCACCAAATTCTAAATGATGAAAAGTAATAAGAGATGTTTGATGATTCTTAATTTTCATATCGTTTTATTGTATAGAATCTGACTGGAAACGAGACAGGACCACCACTTCTGAATGGCGAAAGGGTACACGGAGTAGCCAGAGACGTAACTTATTTGTGCCCTTACTCAGGACCATCTAGAGGAGTGCTCACTGTCACAAATTACAAATTGCATTTCCGCAGTATCGACAGAGAAACGCCCTATATCGTCGAAATGCCCCTTGGTGTCGTTAGTAGAATCGAAAAAGTCGGTGGTGCATCCAGTAGGGGCGAAAATTCCTATGGCATAGAAATATTTTGTAAGGACATGCGAAATCTCAGATTCGCGCATAAGCAAGAGAATCATTCCAGGCGAAACGTTTTCGAAAAATTGCAGCAGTATTCGTTCCCCTTGTCTCATAGTATGCTTCTTTTTGCATTTGAGTATTCAGAAAATTTTCCCGAGAATGGATGGAACGTGTATGAACCAATTGCTGAGTTGAAACGAATGGTGAGACATTTAAAAAAAAAAAAAAAAAAAAAAAAACCTATTTGAACGTCGAAAATTGGCTTCTTGTAATTTTAATTTTCAGGGAATAAACAATGATATGTGGAAAATATCAAAAATCAATGACTCGTACTCAGTGTGCGATAGTTATCCGGCAGTATGGGCAGTACCAACAGCAGCTACGGACGAAGATCTGCAAGCTTCTGCTGCATTTAGAAGTAGGGGCAGGTTACCCGTTCTATCCTGGATCCATCCAGAGAGCCAAGCGACAATAACTCGGTGTGCACAACCGCTGGTGGGCGTAGGTGGCAAAAGAAGTCGTGAGGATGAAAGATACATACAGCTGATTATGGATGCTAATGCACAGAGTCATAAACTTTTTATCGTCGACGCTCGGCCTATGGCGAATGCCGTAGCGAATAAGGCGAAAGGAGGCGGGTACGAGAATGAAGATGCTTATCAAAATAGCGAAATTGTGTTTCTCGATATTCACAACATTCATGTGATGAGAGAGAGTCTCAGAAAATTAAGAGAACTGTGTTTCCCGACTATTGACGAAGCAAGGTGGTTGTCGGGCTTGGAGTCAACAATGTGGTTGAAGCATATAAAATACATTATTGCTGGAGCAGTGAAAATTATTGACAAAGTTGAAACTCACAAGACTTCTGTACTAGTACATTGTTCTGATGGTTGGGATAGAACTGCACAAGTTTGTATCTCGATGAAACTCATTGATATGATGGTGGTGTGTTTGTTCTAAAGGTTAACTGATTTCAGCTCACTGCTTTGGCAATGCTACTGTTGGATCCTCACTACAGAACTATCAAAGGATTCGAAGTACTGATTGAAAAAGAATGGCTCAGTTTTGGTCACAAGTTTCAACAGGTAATTAACGTTTATTATTAGACAATGACTAATACTCGTGTGATTTTAATTGAAAGGATTATTTTTAGAGAATTGGTCACGGTGATGAACATCACAGTGATGCAGATAGGTCGCCTGTATTTGTACAATTTATAGACTGCGTTTGGCAAGTTAGCCAACAATTCCCTAACGCTTTTCAATTTAATGAGTATTTCTTGATAACAATATTGGATCACCTTTACTCTTGTCGTTTTGGTACTTTCTTATTCAGCAGGTTTGTTTTGCTTTGAGACTTTCAACTTGAATAATCTTACTGTGGCCATTTGAAATAAAAACAATTTTTAGTGAACGAGAAAGGGTGCAAGAACGACTGAAAGAGAGGACGGTATCGTTATGGTCCTTCATTAATAGCCAAATACCTTTGTATCAAAATCCGCTCTACTGGGATGGCCCAAACCATCAATTGGTATTGTTACCAATCGCTAGCATGCGGTACATCAAACCATGGAAGAGTTTCTACTGCAGATGGAACCCTAGTATGAGACAACAGGTAACTTACTTATCTTCTACCTCATTGTCTTCACTAATTTTGAAAATAACAATCACTCAAACACCGATAATTTTCTATTACAGGATCCAGTGTACCAGCGTACACGGGAACTTTTAGTTTTAAAAGAGCAACTTAAGAAAAAAGTCGAAGAGTGTAGGCGCGAGCAAGCGCTGCGTACCAATAATCGGCCAACAATCAACTCAACATCATCAGCAACATCGGCAGTACCTAGATTACACTCACCTGTGCACTCTTAGCAGAGCCCAGTGGAGCAGCCTCGACTACTCCTTACCGTACGTCAACGAGTCTTAGACTAATACTCTCGATGAGGCACGCAAGTATTGTTCAAAATACAACACGCGTAGCTGTTCTCGCGCATGCCAAGGTACGATTTTTTTTTGTGAGAAATCGCTTGGCTCTCTCGCGTCAAGACGAAAAATGTTTTAATATTTTACTTTGACTGAATCAGCATCGCTGTTTGTACAAAAAGCGTTATCTTTTAACTTTTTAATCGATTACTGGATCGAGCAGGTGGACTCGAAGCACGCTTTTTATGAATATATTTGATGAAATAAACTAAATAAAGTAACCTGTATGCATATACATGTATTGATAGCAACAAAGCATACAAAACGTTACAGTGACTGTCAAACTGTTGTATATTAGTACACACTCACGTCACTCACACACAAACATACACACGTAGAAGTCGGTACAAAATAAAGTAATTTCATACTTGTAAGAAAATATTTCGAGAATAAAAAAATAGGTCAAACAAAAAAAAATAATTTATGCTTTCCATCTAAACCTGCTGCTCGCGAATTCTTTTTTACAGTCTCTGGACATCTTTTGTTTTAATTACAATATATTATCGTAATTCATAAAACTGTTGGCAGTTTCATCATTCTAGAACACAACGAGACAGAAGTACGTTGCCACGGAATTTCTCAAAAAACATGATAAATTATAAATCATAAATACAAAAATCGTAAATTTTTTAGTTAACTGAACAAAAGGTAAAACAATGAATCGTAAGGCTTTTGTGCATAAGCTTAGGTAAGAAAGTCATGCGTCAGGCCAACTGGCTGAGCAGGTAAATCAAATTAGTTGAAAAGATAAAGTATGGATTAAGGAGATAAGCGCAGTTCATGAGCTTGCTTAGTTGAACCCAGCATTTGAAGCAGAGTATTTTGTTGCCGATGCCTGGATTTGCGTAAGAGATGTTAACTCAAGACAATTTTTTTCTAATTAATTTTAAATCACACGCAGAGACACAGATAAGTACATCTGTATTTTGTATATAAGAGTATATAATTAAATTGAATGCATAATGCTAAAATTTGTTACGGAATTTTGCCGTAGTTAATAAATAAAGTATCTTAACAGCATGTCTGAGTCAATTATGTTTTAAATGTCTATACCTTCTTGATTGGTGTAATAGAGACGATGAATTGCCAGATGATGCCCATGAGCCCGAGGCTTCTGTAAACAGCGAGCCGAGTACTAGTATCCTCTGATTGTTTAAGTAATTTTCAGCTTGCGTCGATTTTTATTTTTCCATATTCAATCTATTATCATCAACTCATGAAAATGAATCGATATTTATATTTTGTTCGAGCAATTTTTTAATTATTTTCACAACAATTAGGGTACTTGATATGACTCGATTGCCATCCATGGTGTCACAATTGTAGTCTTTATACATACATAAATAAATTAAATCATTTTTGTAAAGTCCAAATCTACAATTTTACATTTGTCACTTTGTGACAAAAATTCGTTACCTTGATACTTTTTTTTTTTTTTTTTTTTATTGTGAAGTAATTATTGGATACTTGGGTGAAACAAATTAAAAAAGAATAAATAGACATAATGAACACAAAAGGTATTGATTTTTAAAATGTTTTATTAGCACATGGAAGTTCGCATCTTTTTCCACATAAGTTCGATAAAGAGGAACGGTCAATAAGGGCGAATCAGACAAAACGTAACCGTTCAAGTTTTGCTTGTCAAGTTACTTAGACGCAAAATCGCACGTAATTTTTGCTTTTTACGTCGTTTTCGTACTAAATAAAAATACAATCGTTATTATCGTTGACACAGGAAATAACGAATACATATTATGATGTAAAATATCACAAAATTGATATCTGAAATTTGCTTAATTTATGCTGTATCGATAATTACCATTTCCTTCCATATCAATTTTTTTTTCTTTCCACCATATGTACAAAAAAGCCTGATGTTAAATCATAGAAAATAATATATAAAAATATACAAATTTACATTTGAAAGCAAAAGTCAATGTGGAGGTTTTTCTTCATAGAATATTTCATTTTATACACTTTTGTTTTGTTTACTTTTTTTTATACTTTTCGTAAAATCCTATCAGACTTTTCTCTTGGTTTTAGAGGGTAGTCGCGATTGGACAGCTCTTTATTCGTCAAGGAAGTTCAGCTATTTTATTTTATTTATTCATTTTATGTTCTCTTATATGGCGCGCTACAATTTTACACAACAAGAGAAAGTAAAACATAAAATCATGTACACCAACATCGAGCACACGATCCCTCCATTTTAATGTATCCTTTCAAGGTATTGTACAAAAAGATTAATAGCCGCTTTACGCTCGCTCAATAATATAATTTTACAAGGAAAAAGTTACCAAATAGGCAATTGGCAGCCCATCATTGGAATCTTTTACCTGCGTATTTTTTAATAAATTATAAAAAAGAATTATTCATCAACTCATATTTACAAATATACTAATCGAAAGGAAATATACATTTTTTTTCTATAATAACTGTGCACCTTAAGATTGTCTGTAAAAGCTACAAATAAAAGTACACCACCAATTTTAAAAACACTATCCGTTTTTTATAAAACTTATACTTTACTATTAGTGACTTGATTTTTTTTTCCATCACTTCTTAGGGAGTGCTGATACGCAGATGGTTATTATCGTTAAATTTACCATGAATTACATTGGATCCTCATTTATATGTGAACTTTTTTTTGCAAGTGTGGACAAACTATTGCGTAATGGAATGATTTAGTTGTTTGATGCATACAAAAACGAGCACTTGAGATACCTATGTTTTTTTTAATTGAAAAAAAAAAATCTTTAGCAAATCCTATAATTCATTATTTAAACTACAAAAAAATCAGATGCCCGTTTTTATCCGAATCTACATACGCTGAAATTGTAGTAAATTGATATCACTATTAAAATCAGTTTTTTAATTACTTTGTTTAAACATGTATATTCTCTCTACAATAGCTTGTTCAAAAAGTGCCTGCAAAACATTAAACAAAAAAAAATATACTGTATTTCCTAAGTAAATTGGCAGTATTTCGATTTCGTTGACGTGCGGCCTGGGAGTTTCAAGTGTCAAAACTACATTCACATTTACTTACTTACCGCAAAATTCAATACTTTCTTGATTTGATTAATATAAAGTCAGTGTTTTAAACATACCGAGTGAGCATCACATTGTTTGTAGTTACTCGAGCTAAACAATTTCAGGACAAATGGAATACGAAAAATTCCAATTTGATGTTGAAAAATATTGCCTTGTCGCCATGTCTGATTCCTCGCGTAAAAAGCGTAAATAAAATTATTCAATCAGTATATGTATTTTTTTTTGATAAAAGGCAGGTTCTCAATGTACCCTTTTATTTTGCGGAACTTTTCGGTGTCAAATTATTAAAAAAGTAAATTATGAAACGAGTCTCTTTACGTCGGTACACTCGATATTTGTTTGGAAGTGATCGGAATATGCATATATTATGAACTCATTAAATTTTTTCACATATTATTGTTATCATCTTTTGTTGTTTGTTTGAATTACTTTAGCGATTCATTACTTAGCAAATATCATTTACCCAAAATGCCGTCCACTTTGAGACAAACGGAAATAATCACAAGTTCCTTATTACGTTTTTACAACCATACACGCTGTCGTTTCAACATACACAAATAATCGCAATCATTTTTTTATTTATTTTTTTTTTAACTTCTCGCAGATAAAATCTGCACGTCATACAAACAAAGGAATACGCGTTTTCTTTTTAAATTTACTTATGAAAAAAAATGTATACAACACCAGCCACTTAACTATATATAACAAGTACTATGCTATATTTACAATTTTTTATAATAATATTCGCAGCTTCGCACTAACCGACCATTTGAAACTTGTTTCGAACAGCAATAAATTTTCTTTGGATCAGTACACGAAAGCACATTGTCTTATTGTTACTGTACAATGCAATACTCTGATCGTTTGAGAGAAAAAAATTTGTAAATTAAGAAAGATATTGAAATCAATGTTAATGAGAATCACAGGAAATCGATAAAGGGATGTACTGCGGAAAATGAGATTGGCTTGAACAATGTATTCAACAGTAAAACTTACAAAGTACGAATATTAAAACCCTTAATTATACAAATCTTGGATATTTCGAAAAAATAACTAATTGTTACTCGTTTGAAAAAAAAAACTAATTTTCAAAGTTAATTGCGCTTAAAATCAGTTCTTTTTCGATAAAAAAGGAAAATTTATTGAAACATTCTCAATTTGCATATTTTAACAAATGTTATCATTTGTTTTCGCACGATAAATTACCGAAACAACTGAAAAATGTTTCCCAGCAATCTTATCGAGAGAAAAAAAAGTTCAATGACCAGTCAACTTTTATCATTGGATACGTCAAATATGTCTTTTGGGAGTACTTGCTGATGGAAAAAAATGAATAATAATAAATAGAAAACAATTTTGAAAGCAGTAAAAATATTTTTTTAAAGGAATGACAAAAAGACAAAGAAAAGAAATCATGAACTTAATACTGTTGAATAAACCTGAAGAGACAAAGTAATCAATACTCAAAAACGTCGGTTTTAAATATACAATAAAAATAGCAAAGAAAAAAAAGAGGCTAACAGAGCGCAACGAATTGAAAAATGATCACGTTTTTCCTACACAACGAGCGTCGACGTAAGTCAAAATTCATAAGATTTCGTCGCACCTAAAGCAAAAAAGCTCGCGTCTTTTCTTCGCATCTGTTTTTTTTTTCTTTTTTTTTTCTTCCATCGTTTTTATTATAATATACACAGTTTAGCGCTTATTTACACACCTGCCTCTTCCCTCTGAACTCGATTTTAGTTTATTTCATTTTTTCCACTGACTAACGCTCCACTTCGCCGAACCAAAATCCCAAGCTTCATTTTCTTTTATCTTAATTTCGGAAAACATGGGTTACACACACCCCATACCGTGAAAATTGAGTATGCGTCAATTTTTTTTTTTTCTTTTTCGCCTACATTGAGCTTTTACTTTATCCACACTTAGAGATTATCCATTCGTTTGTTATTCCTCATACCTTTTTCTCACCTTCATTTGAAGTCCTTACCAGCCTGTTTTTTCCTACACATGAAAATGATTCGAATTTTCTTTCACACGCATACTCGCACTTATACGTTATAATACGCGCGTTAAAAACATATCGACGAGTAACGAATTGACAAAGCAATCACCGACAAATTTTTTGTTTTCCACCAGCCGGGCTCCGATTGGGTTATCTGACCCCTTGATCACAAGGAACAATGAAAAATTCGGCTCTTTATTTTCAAAGATAAAAAAAAAAAAAATCGGTTCGATTAACAATGTCGTTAATTCAAGGACGTGCCAACGCAACCTCTCGCTCATTGACGAAAAAGTAACACACGCGATCCGCAAAACCGTCTCCCATCGATTCGTCAAATCGTCGGATTTCTTTTCTTTGTCGGAAACGTCGATTCGGCCGCACTGGCGCTTCGTCCAAGCACATGGTACAATACAGAAGAAAAAAAAAGCAACCGATAGAATTGAGCTTGCAGATCGCAAATGCGCATCAGTAGCGAAAAACCTCACAAGCTGGTGAGGAGCTCGTGGTCTTCGGAGTCACGGAGGTCGCAGCTGCTTAACTCGGGCACGAGGGCCAGGCCGAAGTTGGTGCTGGTGCAGAAGGCGACGGACTGGCGCTGGTGGCCGTGTCGACGCAACGGCACTCGAGGCTGCTCCGTCGGGGCTGCCTCGGAGTGGTGCTGCTGGTGCTGCTGTTACCTGCTCTGCTCCTCCATAACCACCTGTTTGAACACGCCCGCCGACATCTGGGATTTGACGTCGTGCGAGCCCAGCGCCGTCGTGCCGTCCTTCGCGATGAACAGCTGCAAGCCCGTGGCTGAAAATTCACATTTTTTTTCAATGGAATCTTTCAAAGGTCCATTAATGCATATGGCCATCGAGATTTACGTCGGGTTTGAATAAAGAAGCCCGTGTTCGGCCGCGATGGGATAAAAAACTCGGAGGGGATTCGCGAGAAGAATGAAAGTCGATGCGTACAGCTATCGGGTAACTTTTTTGTAAGAAGCTCTTCTTCAAACTCCGATGAATCCATTACTTTTTTTGCCAAGCAAATTTACTTTGCGTATGAATTTCGCTTCGTTTGTTCGTTCATCTTCAAGCAGCAATTTTTTTTTTTTTTTATAATCACTTAAATAAATTACCTCTAAAACTAATTTTACTATTTGTTTAATAATGATCCATACGACGAGCAAAAGCCGCTTCGATAAATAAGTATAGGAAAAGCTTGAAAATTAGTTGGCGCGCGATCGGTATGACGTCAAAGTTCCCTATATATACTTATACACACGCCTCAGGGTCAATAAAGTTTTGGCAAACCCCGAATTTCGGCACCCGATCGAATAAGCGTTTTTTTCCGAAACTCTAGGTGTCATCGTTCACAAAATATGCTTCTTGGAGACTCTACATTTATTATTATTTTTTTTTTTCGTCCACCTCTGCGGTTAAAAATGAGTGGCCAAACAAACCCCCGGATGAACCGATAAAGCGATGATGACAATGATAATGAAGATCGAGTATAGATGGAGCACTCACTCTCCGAGCTCTCGAGGACCGATTGCTCGAGATTCGTCGCTTTGATGAGTTCGTCGATGAGCGAGTCCGGGTTGACCCTGGTGACCTCGACCCTGCACAGCCCGGGGTTGACCGCGTTGTCCTCGCCGGCCTTCTTTCTCCGCTCCAGCGCCGCCTTGGCCCTGTCCAGCGAGCCGGTTTCACTCAGACCCGAGCCACCCGACGTGTTCCTGCACAACACAAAACGCTTTAATCCCGCACGCACCCCTTTTTTTTTTTTTTTTTTTTTTTTTTTTTGTTTGTTTGTTTCGGGGTAATTCCTCTTTACGTATTATAAAATCCTTTGCGGCGGGTCATATCAGTTTGAGTCGTTTGCACGTGCGTGTGTTTGTGTATGAGGAAAAAAAAAATGTGGGCGAGGTCCGTTGCGTTCGTCGTTATCCACAGTATATACAAATGGCCCGAGAAAGCAGGGACAGTCGATCGTCTCGTCATTTTTGGGGGATTGTCGCGTGCTCTCGTCGCATATAATACATATATATATATAAGTATGTACACATTACATGGAAATGATAGCATCTAACCCATAAAGGTGAAAAAAAAGATGAGCGTGCATGCATGGATGGAAGTTGGGAAAAAAAAAAAAAAAAAGGTAGGGTCCGAAAGCGCTATTTTTACCAATCATAGATAATGTGAAGTAAGCAAAGCGAGCGGGAGACAGTGTAGAAGCCAAAATTCGTGCACCAATCCAAAAGCAAAACAGTTCTACGTTGCACACTTGCTCTCTAGACTATACGCGTTACTTTCGGGAGGAAATATTTCATCGCACAGTATAATTTATCTGGAAATAAAATTTTTGTGGTAAGCGCGAGAGCAAACCGACGCGAGATAAACAAACCGGAGGAATTCGCGTTTTCACCCCCTCCGCTGCAAGAAACTCGTTTTGTGTGTACATCTGGAATTTCTCGTCCACTGGATTTTCACGGAGAAAATTAATTTATTTCTGCCGCACTTCTGCTCATGACGACAGTACCCACTGTTGAGGTTTGGAGATTTTTTTTCAACAGAAAGTATTTCAAGTACAACCGATTTTGCTATACGACTCGTGTCTACAAATGCTAAAACCGTGTTGACATCTAAGTTTTGTGACTATAAATTTGCTTCTCTCAGACGATAGGAAAAGGTACAATTTTCAAATCTCAATGTTTAGTCGAACATAAATATGAGGTTTCAGAGAATTTGCAACTATATATGTATTAGGTATATAAAAAACTGTAGAAAAAGTTTATTTTTTTATTAACATTTTTTTTATATGTTACTTTGCGCAGTTAACATGAGTAACGATTTCTCCCAATCAAAGTTAAGAAAAAACATTGTAAAAATATCGCGTATACCCATAAATGCAAAGGGATTTCACGTGACTGTATAGTATTCACAATCAAACGTTACTCTAGATTTGTATCCTATGTAAAAAAAAAAAAAGATGAAATATAGAAATGCGCAAATTCAAAGATATTGTAAAATAAATTCATCTCACACGAAAAACACTGACACTACATCTAATTGGCCTATATCGTGAAAAACCACCTATAAAATCAAAATTCTCTCTAAAAAAAAGAACAGTAAACAAAGAAAGAAAACTCGTGCAAATTTTCTCTAAAAACACAAAAAAAATTTTAGTTAAAAAAAAAAACAAAAAAAACAAAAAAAAGAGAGAGACTGACGGTGGGGAGACGCTGTTTCGGTGCTGGGAGGCCGTGGTGAGCAGCTCGGGCACGATCAGCGTGGTAGAGGAGGACTCCTCGGGATCCGAACTCGTGGCGACTGCCGCGAGCTTCATCCCACCCGCGCCGCAACCATCCAGCAGTAATTTGCTACGGTGTCCGCTGCCAGGGACGCCCCTGCAACCGAGTCACACACACACACAAAAAAAAATAGGATGCACCTTTCCCCACCAAAATTGATCCTCCTGCTCATTGGGTCGTCAAAGGACATATATTTTATCGGGTATGTTAGGGGAATCACCTTTTTGAATCGATAACGCGTAATTATGTCGTTAGACTCCAACAGCTATGATAATCGGCGTTTTGTCACATACGTCAAGTGCACATAGATGAGCAGTTTATGTATATAAAGACAAGATGTATAAGGTGAAACACAAAAATAGACCCAAAATGGTTGTGATACCTGCAGCGGTGGTCGATGCGAGATGTGAGACGAAAGTGAATTCATCACCGATGTGACGTAATAATGGCGAGCCGATAAAGAGTCGAGACGATACGTGAACGGAAAAAATATGAGTCATCTCCGTTTTTCGTGTCGGTGTACATGCGAATCAAGTATTTTTTTTTTTTTATTACGTGAGCGTTCCAAGTTGGCGATGATTAGATTATACGATCGGCGATGAGTGAGTTATGGTCCGGACTACACAATGAGAGATAACGTACAAGTACACATTTATATGATAATACTGTTGTTGACTCATGTGCAATAAATATATCTATCGTGTATTGACAATTTTTCTTAAAAAACAAAACCTTTATTGTAAATNATTAGCTTTTTAAGCTTAATTCTTACAATTTACTCTCAAATTATGTCTCTAGATAATAATTTTTTAATGATCTTAAATGAACTATTAGGCTAGTTACAAGATTCATCAAAGAGATAATACACTTTTTGAAAAATTACACAACATTGAAAAATGTACAAATTGAAATTACGTGGAATTTTATCAACTAAATTCTGATACACAACACTATCATTATCATTGATATCATCCAAAAAAAAAAAAAAAGGAAAATAAGCAAAGCAAAAAAAAGCTTCAGCTCGAGAGAGCAGTGCTTGATTAAAAAAAAAGCTACATTTCGCATTCCGTGCATTATATAATACACACACCCATACTCCATGCACTATGTTATTAATATTTTGAAAGGACGACCAGATTATGCACGTGAGCCGTGTACATACGTCCCTCCAAGTCGTCGCTTTTCACGGGAGCATTTAAAACAAAAGATTTGCAAGACGCGGTGGTAACGTAATGTATGCAGTATACCTCGCAAGAGCTGTCGCGTCGAGTGAGTATATAATTATTCGGTCCAACCAGCGCCACCATAGCGCAGGATATACGTAAGCTTTGGCCCATACGCAGCGCAAGCTCGGGCTTTTCTCTGTGTACAAGCGTGCCGTATGGAATATTGGCCTCTCCACTTTCGAAAAGCCAGCCATGCACGTGTTACATAATACATACGCCGGCTTTCGTGCTTGCACGTCGTCCATAGATTTCGCTTCATTGTGTCGGCAATAATCAAATTTTAGTGCACACCCACACATATACATACATATATTGAATTTTCGTTGGAGCAGTAAGACAAACGCCGTTTAGGTCGCGATTATTTCCATCGAGGCTCGCGTGAGCACGTACATATACATAATAGTGTGCGTACAGCGACCGATTGAAATCTCGAGCCGGATCTCAATTGTATCCGTGATGGCTGGGATGCGCGCGTGTTGTATATAGCTTCTTGAGCTGCCGACGCGAGCTATGAAAAGCGGCACTGTTGGGCTTCGGGATAACCCGCGCTTTGGTGCACTGTTCTCGGAAATACACGGAAATAAGATTAAAAAAAAAAAAAAAAAAAAAAAAAAAAAAAAAACTTAATTAGGAAAAAAAGGCGGCAATAGCTGTATATATGCGTATAGGTAGGTAGTTATATTACGCTCGTATCGGCAGAAGTGTCGCGCCGGTGATGCAACACCTCGATTGACTATTAAGTGTCGCTATAAAAAAAAAACGCTCGTATAATCTCACGAATGGCTCGAGCTTACGTTTGATCAAACCATCAGTGTAGCTCCTTTTGGATGGTGATTTCAGCGCTACTATAAAAAAAAAAAAAAAAAAAAAAAGGCAAATTAAAAATCTAAATGCCATATGTCAAAACTCTTCTACGTGCCGAAAGAGCAGAGAGAAAATTTTTCTCGTCAGAGCAAGTAGGCGTGTAATGTGCAATATATGCACAATCTAAGCCCAGCAACTTATACAACACCAGCCACTTAACTATATATAACAAGTACTATGCTATATTTACAATTTTTTATAATAATATTCGCAGCTTCGCACTAACCGACCATTTGAAACTTGTTTCGAACAGCAATAAATTTTCTTTGGATCAGTACACGAAAGCACNAAAAAAAAAGGCAAATTAAAAATCTAAATGCCATATGTCAAAACTCTTCTACGTGCCGAAAGAGCAGAGAAAATTTTTCTCGTCAGAGCAAGTAGGCGTGTAATGTGCAATATATGCACAATCTAAGCCCAGCAACTGTGTATATAAAGTCTCTACAGAGCAGTGATACAAAAGCTTCGAGCAAAGCATCAGAGAAGCATCAGAAAATTGTCGGACCTCCACGTATACATTATATTTATGTAATACAGTGACAAGAACTATAGGCACAATCGAGCATTAAGAGAAATACTTAAAGCTCGTGCATCTCGGAGTTTACCGATCCATCGGGTAAGTACAAACTGTTTGTGGTGAAAAAAAAAATCCAAGTTTGTGTTAAAATTGTACAGGTAAGTTGTAAGGGGTGCATCGTTGAAATAAGTTTCAAGGAGCGTTTGGACAGGAACCATGTATACCCCATGTTGGCCAAGTTCTACCAGTGCATTTCTCGTCCAAAAACACACTAGAGCGTGTCAAATTAATCACAAATCGTGCACAATCCTATTAAACAGATAATCCACGGTGCTTTGTGATGCATTGTTTCGCAAGCGTGTGCAAGTTAAAAAAAAACCAGCCAAACTCACGTGTATTCATACATAATGCGTATAGCACACATGTAAGCTGTGTCGTGTGAATTTCGCAAACCAGAGAGTCACATGCGAGAAAGTGCAAAAACGTCAATAAATAATTATTCAAGTACAGATATAATTTTAGTAAAAACAAAAAAAAAACAAAAAAAAAACAAGAAAGCTCAGCATTGCAGTCGCCTCCCATCGTGCGCATCTCCCAAAGATTTATACACAGTCAAGTGCCCTCGGCTCCGCTTGCCCCTTCGTAAGAGACTACAAGTATATATAGAGGGTAAACAATCAGGCGCCATCGGGCCCGTACTATATACACCCCAAAACGGACATAAAGCCGAGCCGTGTCGTTGTGTCCATGCCGCCTCGTGACCTACCTGCTGCAGTACGACTGAGCCGTCGGGGCGGCTGTGGCAATGTAGGACGGCCCGTGCAGGGGATCGGGCGACGACACGGCCCGTGCCTGCTCGGCCAGCCTCAGCATCACGGGACTGCTCGACTTGCCGGCCAACTCGATGCAGTCGTACGTCTTCGAGGACACGGTCACCCGCCTACCATACCCCAACAGCGTCCTGCTGCTGTTGTTGTTGTGGTTGTTGTTGTTGTTGTTGTTGTTATTGTGGTTATTGTTGTTGTTGTTTTGGTTGTTGGTAGTAACAACACTGCCACCGCTGGTCTTCTTGTTGACGTGATTATCGTTGTTGTTGTTGCTGTGGTGGTGGTGGTGGTGGTGGTTGAAGGGCACTCGAAACTCGGGGCTCTTTGTCGGGGTGAGGCCGTTGCGCTGGTTGGGAGTGTGGGAGAGCGCGAGAGAGGACGAGAGCTTCGATCGCAAGAGGGAGGAGGAGGAGGAGGAGGAGGAGGTCGGGGTGCCCGTGGAGCCGAAACGCGAGCGGGGTACCACGAGGCTGAGGGGCGAGGGTGGGGAGAGGGTCAGATTATGGGTGTCCTCGTTGATGATGGCCCTGGTGTCGGGGACCTCGAGTAGTTTGGAGCAGGACGGGGGTGCGCCCGCGTTGCCCCCGCCACTGGTGCCGTTGGTGGTGCTCGCGGTGTTGCTGGTGGCCCCGTTCGGGGTGTCCGGCTGGTTTGAGAGGCTCGGCAGACGCGGCGCCCATACCGGCCAAGAGGGCGACCTACGAACACATCAAGGAAGGTGACACTCGTCGCAGGGCTACGCACCCTTTTTTGTTTTTTCTTTTCTTTTCTTTTCTCCCCCTCTTTCGCTCGACATTGCTGGGGAGTTTTTTTTTTCTCCAATTGATCCAAGCTGGGTGCGCTACTGCTTACGTTGGAAGAGCGGGGGTTTCTTCTTTACAAAGTATGGTTTCGAGCAAATACATATAGTACCAACTGGTTGGTTGCACAATAAAAATCGTAAATTATGCGAAAAAACAAAAATAAACATCCAACGTCTTCTAAACATTGCATGTTAGTTTTATTAAATAATCAGGCGACATTCATCTACCAATCTATTTATGTATATAATATAAAACATCGATAAAAGGAACGAAAAAAAAAAAATAAAAAAAAAATAAACACATCAACACTACGCAACAACAAACTTGTCAGGCAGTGTAACACATAAATATATATAAAGTGTCTAAAGCAGCGGTAATTGGTGCCAATCGCAGCAAAAAAAAGGTGCAAGACAGAGCTGTTTGTATATATAACATATCGTGTGTACCTATACTCGTGAAAAGCGCTATTTTGAAGAAACAAAAAAAAAAAAAAAAATCCAAACAGATTTTGCAATTAAAATAAAAATCAATCCTTTTCCGGGAAAAATGTTTGAAACATATGAGTGATTGATCAAAGTCATGTATGGGATGAAGTAGGTATTTTTTAAAATTCATAAAATTTTACGGGCCACCAACTTTTTATACGAACATGTGCATATATGCGTGTCAATGATACATGTTTATTTACAGTGACGCTCTCTTAACTTCTGTTATTAGCGAAAGTGCATGTTTTCCCGATCGATTGTAGACTGTTGGACACACGCTTCGTTTAATTTGAAGAAGACTACAGCACTGAAATTGTCGAAAACGCAAGGGGTTATGGTGTACCTATAGTAAAAAAAAAGGGGGGGGGGCCCTCTCGAGTCATCCACCATGAACGACGAAAGAAATCCCCAGGCGGGTGAAATGACCAAAGCCCGCGTGAACCCCATCGAAAAATCCACCCCCAAACAACAACCACAGGGTCGACAGACTCTTACCTATAAAAGTACAGTTGCTACATTGTGTATACGGGGGGGGGGACGGGGGTGGTCAGGTGGAATAGGGGCCCGGGGAAAGTTCGGCGCCTCACCTGATGTGTCCGCTGTCCCCGCCGCTGCTGCTCTGCCGGCTGTGTTGGCTGTGCGAGTTGAGGCTACCGTAGCCCGAGCCCTTGCTCAGCTGGCTCGTGTTGCTGCTGTTGCGCGAGTGCCCGGACTCCGCGTGGCCGGCCTCCTGCGACACTTGCCCCTGGGGCTGTTGCTCGCCGACGCTCGCCACGGCCATCGACGTCGTCGTCGTCGTGTTGTTCGTCGTCGCGTTGCTCGACGCGGTCGTGAGGGTCGTCGCCACCGCCGACAGGGAGCCCGACGACATCGGGAGGAGCTCGTTCAGCGTCATCGCGTCCCCGCACGACGCCTCGGAGCCGCTCAGCAATTCTGTCGGGTTGTTATAAATACACGTTTTTTCACCACAACGACAAGGACGCTCGCTTTTGTTTTTCATTGGGATTTAAAAGGAAAAAAAAAAAAAAAGAAAACATTGTTGTTCATGCAAAACGGGGTGAAAAAAAAACTCCCCCAAAACCAGAGGGAGGGGTTGGGGGTGGGGTGGGGGATGTTTGTTTGTTTACCGGAGGTAAAGAGGGCCGGCCTCTTTTTCGGAAGACTGCCGAAGCCGCTGCTGGTGCTGGCTATGCTGCCGGCGAGCGAGCCCGTGGATACGTAGTCCTCGCGGTTGCTGGCGCACCTGTCGGGACCTACGGCGGTCGCCTCGTCGTCGTCCACCGTCTCGACGGGCACGACCACGGGCACGACCCCCGGTGGGCCGGGCACCGTCAGCTGCATCTGCTTCGGCGACGGCGACGGCCTATCATTTATATGTATATACATATTATGTACTCTCATTCGCTACACTCCAACGCGCGATACTTGTACGCAACTGTTTGACGAAGAGAAAAAAAAAAAAAAAAAAAAAGGGGGTGGTTGGGGGGTACTTACACTTTGAAGAGGATGTCGCCCGAGAGCATGTTCATTTTGATGGCGACCCTGAGCATGGAGTTGTCCTGGCGGTGCCTCGCGTCGTAGCCCTCGAGTAGACACCTCCTCCGGCAGAGACCAGCTCCGGCGAATTCGGCCAAGTTCAGGTCGGTGAAACCGAGCTTTTGGAAGGACCTGCCTCCTTTGGATTCCTGCAAGCATTTTACAGTATACTTTCATGTTTCGCGCATAATGCGTCACGAGTGTTATATTATTTATCTTTTGTTTGCGATATATTGAAGGAGAAGAAAGTACCAATCATAATTTTCAATCATGGATAAAGGTACAATCTCGAAAGTATGTGAATTCTTTTGATGTTATCTAAAGTTACGTTTTTCAACCTATACTAATCTCTTTCTCGGTGTGTGAAGGAGAAAAACAACAAGGAAAGTCATTACGATTTGTTTCTTTTAATTGATTATACAGGATATTTACAAAAAATTTTATTTTAATCGAGATTGAGATAGTACACCTCTTTAAAATGCAAAATCAAGATGGTACGTGTTTTTTTTTATTTTTTCGTTTATTCATTGTTGATACGCACAAGATACTTTATGCGTAAAGAGCTCAATAACAACGATAATGAAACTCAGCGTTTCAAGGAGGGGACAAGAGATTGACGTTCGGTATATTGGCCTCCAAGTTGGCCACAACTAAATTTACACTTGACTGTGCAGGAATAATGAAATCCTGAGAAATTCAGTGAGGAGAGTTGTTTCAAAGTCCTGTTATGGGGCGAATAATATAGACTATATTTTATAAAAAAAAAAATAAAAAAACTTTCCATTGTATACGTAATACAATATTGCAAGTGAAAAATTCAACTAACCTTTCTAACAGATATTCTTAATATACAAGGGTCGAGTACACCCGTCGATGCATTGGCACTCATTTTGCAGAGGAACTTGAACGTGGCGTTCCATCTCACCGTGTGCTCCTGCACTTCCTCCCTGTAAATTTAAACAAAACAAAACAAAAACGTAAGTATGAATGTATTGGTACTAATTATCATGATTTTCTTAATATTATTACACAAAACTTTAAGTCAAGCTACATTTGAACAACAAAAAAATCTCATCGAAAAACAATAACCCCCCGTTTTATAGTAACAAAATCAAATACCTATATTATATTTACAAGTGAAATATACAGAAACAGCATCCTCATAATCACTGCACCTATAAGTACACACGCCGTGCAACTTTAAATATCTTCTCCTCGCCTTCAAATTATTAAGATTCGCGTGTTCCCTGTGCCGAATCGGCTATATATACCAGTTAGATCCGACGAGATTCAACTCCTACATCCTGCGCGTGGGAGGAGGAGGGGTGAGACATGTAGTGACGACAACGAGGGGGGAGGGAGGTAAAACGTCAGCAGTGCTCGTGAAATCCCGCGTGTGATGCTGGAAGACGGCCAAAACTTCCGCGCACAGCTGTCTCCCTGCCGCTGGGCAGTGTACGTCACTCTATATACGTATATTAGCACGTGACTCGCGAGGAGAGTCGTCACACGTAATATGTTATTATACGTGTATAATACGCACTCGACCCTAACCGACGTGTATGTACAGCGTTTTGCGCGTATCCTGTGTATAACGTATACGTTACTAACGGGATGTGCACAGGCTAATCCCTGCGGGATGAGAAAAAGCACGATCGAGGCCTCGTCGTTGCGAGAGAGGCCAACCGTTGGAGCACCGAAGCTCCTTTGTACTTCCAACCATTAGAGAGCTTTTGTCTTTTTTAAAGCTCTTTCGTTCCCTTTCTTGAATTTTTCAACAATTTGCTCTCGTCAAGCACGCGCGATCGCTCTCTCCGTTAAATGAGCTATGTTTTCGATTTTCATTACCAGGGACATCTAAAAGCACAGACGAGCTTGCGTTTGTTACATTCATGACGTATTTTTTTTTTTTTTTTTTTTAGGTTCAGGTGCTACGTGCGTCTCGCGATAATTAATTTAGAAAAGAAAGTGAAAATTATTCGAGGTACACTTGAATATTCGCAGCTGATGACGTGTGTCAGTTACTAAGGTGGTGATGATGAGGCGACGAGACAGTTACTGTGTCAGGGACGTAGAAAGGGAAAGTTGGGTTGTTGCATATATATATATACGTAGGTAGTGTGGCAGAAGGATATTGTACATAACTATATGGGCTTTACTTTTCCTTTTTCTTCATCCCGAGAGCCTTTTTTGTTGATTGACGTATAAATTTAACAAAAAAGTTTAATGCGCTTTAATTACGAGGCAACAATGATTCGTCATACATATACTTAAAACAGATGCCTGATGTGAAAATTTAAGATACCGGGTTGAAATTTAATTAACGTGGATGTATTACATTAATTGGAAACCGCAAAACGTGGACGTAAAAATTAATGCGTACAGAAACGCGATACTCGTGGGCTCAGTGTAGGAATTTAGGGTACGAGAATAATATTCATGTAATTAATTTTCACATATAGACGTTATTACGAAAATTAAAATGCAACGTCAAGGTAAAAGTAGAAATTAAAATTTAATTTCTTACTTTTTTCCACTTTAATTTAATGGTTCAGTGCGAGGTTCAGTGAAAGTTGCCTCAATTTAATTCAAGTATTAACAATTATTTATAGAAATCACAATGGGAGATTTAACTGAATAATATGAAACTCTTTCGTTGGTGTACACTTGTAAAATTCTCGTGCGCATATAAAGGTCAAAAGAGCCGATAAAAGTATACGGATGCAAATGGAACTTCATTATAAGCACAAATGCGGGGGGGGGGGGTCCTTTTCGCGCCTCGCTCGTTTTGTGCATTTTTTATCATGCATCTACTTTACTTTGCTCTTTATCTTCACCCCATTATGAATTTCCTTTGAATCCGTCTTTTTATTATCATCTCCAATTGTATCCAACACCTCTACACATATATACACATCATCCATTCCTCTTTTTCCATCGGAATACATGAATAATAAGCAAACACAGAGATAGTCATTTTTTTTCACTCGTACGGACAAAAGCAAAACTGTGCAAAGAGCAGTTTTCATCGTACGCGATGCGAAACGATTACGGGTAATTCAACATGAAAGACGATTAAAGGGTATTGATACAGATTACGAGCAGAATAATTAGCAGTGTACACGATGATGACAATGATGTGGGTGTTTACATTGGTCGAGCTATTGTTTCATTTTTTTTCTTTTTTCCTGATTTCATGGCACGAGAGTATAACTGTACACAATACATATTAAATAAGAAAATTGGAATTTTCAATGCTTGCATTCGTTATCTCGATTCGAGTGGTAAATTAGCTCGCTAGGTGTAAATTTTTTTTTTTTTCTTCTAAAAACTAAATTTCCCCCTCGAGAATCGCTTACGAGTCGTAATTTGTATAATTTTCATATACGTGTAAAAAAAATACGCTTGATTAGCACTAATGACGGCTCATCTCCACATATGCACGATGCACACGTATACCCGCGATTTTATCTACTTCAATGAATCAAAAACTCCCACTGTACAACGTGTATGTAATGTATAACACACATGTACCCATCATCATCATCTATATTTGTAAATAAAGAGCTGTAGCACACCGCGTGGCCAACCAAGCCGTGAGAGGACAAATTGAATTAGGCGTGGCCGGGATTATTTGCATCAGCCCACGGTATAATCCCCGCGGGTATAATTCACCTTCGCTGCTGTGTCTTAACCCGATTTGCTTGATCAGCCGTACTTTGCTATATCATCGTGAGGAAAGAAAAAAAAAAAAAAAAAAAGGAAAATAAGCAAAGCAAANTAGGCGTGGCCGGGATTATTTGCATCAGCCCACGGTATAATCCCCGCGGGTATAATTCACCTTCGCTGCTGTGTCTTAACCCGATTTGCTTGATCAGCCGTACTTTGCTATATCATCGTGAGGAAAAAAAAAAAAAAAAAAAAAAAAAAAAAAAAAAAATACAAAGGCGTCAAATTGACTTTTCCCCAAGGAGAGGTAGGCGCGTCGCGTTTCCCCTGCCCTCGATCGATCCTCCTCCTCCTTCGGGAGCGATAGGACGTTTCCTGTTATCCCATCCCCCGTGGGACTGGAGCGTCTTTTTTTCTTGTTCCGCTCAGAAGCTCATTAAAAACGACGCTGCCATCTCCATTTCCGGTGTCGCCTCGTAGATACTCCTATCTGCACCTCGCAATTGAACGTTTTTGTGCCTCACTCGGATTATTACTGCAAATTCCTTTCCTTTAACTACAACTGTCCGGAGACACGTGGTGATCAATACCACCTCTCTTTTCCGACGACGACTGAATTTGCTCGAGCTTTTGGAACAATGGAGGCTCAGTGCGGATGATATGTACATGTATCCGATGCTCTTCGAAGAGGAATGTGGGTGGGTGCCCTTGTGAAGATCCGATGTACACATAATACATTACGCAGGCGATTTTGGTAATTGCAAAAAAAAAAAAAAAAAAAAAATCTAATATCTCTTCTGCGGATGAGTTTCCAACTCTTATATATGTTTGACGTAGGCGGTGTATTTTTGTATAAATAACGCGTGCGGTCGAAATATATTTTATAAAAAAAAAAATAAAAAAACTTTCCATTGTATACGTAATACAATATTGCAAGTGAAAAATTCAACTAACCTTTCTAACAGATATTCTTAATATACAAGGGTCGAGTACACCCGTCGATGCATTGGCACTCATTTTGCAGAGGAACTTGAACGTGGCGTTCCATCTCACCGTGTGCTCCTGCACTTCCTCCCTGTAAATTTAAACAAAACAAAACAAAAACGTAAGTATGAATGTATTGGTACTAATTATCATGATTTTCTTAATATTATTACACAAAACTTTAAGTCAAGCTACATTTGAACAACAAAAAAATCTCATCGAAAAACAATAACCCCCCGTTTTATAGTAACAAAATCAAATACCTATATTATATTTACAAGTGAAATATACAGAAACAGCATCCTCATAATCACTGCACCTATAAGTACACACGCCGTGCAACTTTAAATATCTTCTCCTCGCCTTCAAATTATTAAGATTCGCGTGTTCCCTGTGCCGAATCGGCTATATATACCAGTTAGATCCGACGAGATTCAACTCCTACATCCTGCGCGTGGGAGGAGGAGGGGTGAGACATGTAGTGACGACAACGAGGGGGGAGGGAGGTAAAACGTCAGCAGTGCTCGTGAAATCCCGCGTGTGATGCTGGAAGACGGCCAAAACTTCCGCGCACAGCTGTCTCCCTGCCGCTGGGCAGTGTACGTCACTCTATATACGTATATTAGCACGTGACTCGCGAGGAGAGTCGTCACACGTAATATGTTATTATACGTGTATAATACGCACTCGACCCTAACCGACGTGTATGTACAGCGTTTTGCGCGTATCCTGTGTATAACGTATACGTTACTAACGGGATGTGCACAGGCTAATCCCTGCGGGATGAGAAAAAGCACGATCGAGGCCTCGTCGTTGCGAGAGAGGCCAACCGTTGGAGCACCGAAGCTCCTTTGTACTTCCAACCATTAGAGAGCTTTTGTCTTTTTTAAAGCTCTTTCGTTCCCTTTCTTGAATTTTTCAACAATTTGCTCTCGTCAAGCACGCGCGATCGCTCTCTCCGTTAAATGAGCTATGTTTTCGATTTTCATTACCAGGGACATCTAAAAGCACAGACGAGCTTGCGTTTGTTACATTCATGACGTTTTTTTTTTTTTTTTTTTTTAGGTTCAGGTGCTACGTGCGTCTCGCGATAATTAATTTAGAAAAGAAAGTGAAAATTATTCGAGGTACACTTGAATATTCGCAGCTGATGACGTGTGTCAGTTACTAAGGTGGTGATGATGAGGCGACGAGACAGTTACTGTGTCAGGGACGTAGAAAGGGAAAGTTGGGTTGTTGCATATATATATATACGTAGGTAGTGTGGCAGAAGGATATTGTACATAACTATATGGGCTTTACTTTTCCTTTTTCTTCATCCCGAGAGCCTTTTTTGTTGATTGACGTATAAATTTAACAAAAAAGTTTAATGCGCTTTAATTACGAGGCAACAATGATTCGTCATACATATACTTAAAACAGATGCCTGATGTGAAAATTTAAGATACCGGGTTGAAATTTAATTAACGTGGATGTATTACATTAATTGGAAACCGCAAAACGTGGACGTAAAAATTAATGCGTACAGAAACGCGATACTCGTGGGCTCAGTGTAGGAATTTAGGGTACGAGAATAATATTCATGTAATTAATTTTCACATATAGACGTTATTACGAAAATTAAAATGCAACGTCAAGGTAAAAGTAGAAATTAAAATTTAATTTCTTACTTTTTTCCACTTTAATTTAATGGTTCAGTGCGAGGTTCAGTGAAAGTTGCCTCAATTTAATTCAAGTATTAACAATTATTTATAGAAATCACAATGGGAGATTTAACTGAATAATATGAAACTCTTTCGTTGGTGTACACTTGTAAAATTCTCGTGCGCATATAAAGGTCAAAAGAGCCGATAAAAGTATACGGATGCAAATGGAACTTCATTATAAGCACAAATGCGGGGGGGGGGGGTCCTTTTCGCGCCTCGCTCGTTTTGTGCATTTTTTATCATGCATCTACTTTACTTTGCTCTTTATCTTCACCCCATTATGAATTTCCTTTGAATCCGTCTTTTTATTATCATCTCCAATTGTATCCAACACCTCTACACATATATACACATCATCCATTCCTCTTTTTCCATCGGAATACATGAATAATAAGCAAACACAGAGATAGTCATTTTTTTTCACTCGTACGGACAAAAGCAAAACTGTGCAAAGAGCAGTTTTCATCGTACGCGATGCGAAACGATTACGGGTAATTCAACATGAAAGACGATTAAAGGGTATTGATACAGATTACGAGCAGAATAATTAGCAGTGTACACGATGATGACAATGATGTGGGTGTTTACATTGGTCGAGCTATTGTTTCATTTTTTTTCTTTTTTCCTGATTTCATGGCACGAGAGTATAACTGTACACAATACATATTAAATAAGAAAATTGGAATTTTCAATGCTTGCATTCGTTATCTCGATTCGAGTGGTAAATTAGCTCGCTAGGTGTAAATTTTTTTTTTTTTCTTCTAAAAACTAAATTTCCCCCTCGAGAATCGCTTACGAGTCGTAATTTGTATAATTTTCATATACGTGTAAAAAAAATACGCTTGATTAGCACTAATGACGGCTCATCTCCACATATGCACGATGCACACGTATACCCGCGATTTTATCTACTTCAATGAATCAAAAACTCCCACTGTACAACGTGTATGTAATGTATAACACACATGTACCCATCATCATCATCTATATTTGTAAATAAAGAGCTGTAGCACACCGCGTGGCCAACCAAGCCGTGAGAGGACAAATTGAATTAGGCGTGGCCGGGATTATTTGCATCAGCCCACGGTATAATCCCCGCGGGTATAATTCACCTTCGCTGCTGTGTCTTAACCCGATTTGCTTGATCAGCCGTACTTTGCTATATCATCGTGAGGAAAAAAAAAAAAAAAAAAAAAAAAAAAAAAAAAAATACAAAGGCGTCAAATTGACTTTTCCCCAAGGAGAGGTAGGCGCGTCGCGTTTCCCCTGCCCTCGATCGATCCTCCTCCTCCTTCGGGAGCGATAGGACGTTTCCTGTTATCCCATCCCCCGTGGGACTGGAGCGTCTTTTTTTCTTGTTCCGCTCAGAAGCTCATTAAAAACGACGCTGCCATCTCCATTTCCGGTGTCGCCTCGTAGATACTCCTATCTGCACCTCGCAATTGAACGTTTTTGTGCCTCACTCGGATTATTACTGCAAATTCCTTTCCTTTAACTACAACTGTCCGGAGACACGTGGTGATCAATACCACCTCTCTTTTCCGACGACGACTGAATTTGCTCGAGCTTTTGGAACAATGGAGGCTCAGTGCGGATGATATGTACATGTATCCGATGCTCTTCGAAGAGGAATGTGGGTGGGTGCCCTTGTGAAGATCCGATGTACACATAATACATTACGCAGGCGATTTTGGTAATTGCAAAAAAAAAAAAAAAAAAAAAATCTAATATCTCTTCTGCGGATGAGTTTCCAACTCTTATATATGTTTGACGTAGGCGGTGTATTTTTGTATAAATAACGCGTGCGGTCGAAAAAACAACTCGACTCATCGACCGACTTGTTATCCCCATTTGCAATACCCACCGACCTCGACAAAACAGAGAGGGATCAGCAAAAAACGGCGGTAATAGCTCCGAAAAAAAATTTACAGCCTCTTACCCTCGAGCGCGCGATGAATTTATCTCGGCGATGTTATCCTCCAGATACCCTTAAATTCACTAGAACGCGCGCGGAAAAGGGGGAGTGGAGCACAAAGTATATACCGAAATAAAAATTGCGTCCCGCACAAAAACACGTGCTCCGGTCTCTTTATCCCCGGGGAAGGAGTTCCCGCTTTGGTTTTTGGTTCTTACTTATGTATGTATATCGTGTTCGCGAGTAGAGTTGGACGTCACATCGGGGGTGGAGGGAGGATCAGGTTGGCCGAAGATACACACGCCCTTCGTTCAAGGAGAGAGCGGGGGGTGGGGCAGGGGATGGGTATCCTTCGCGCCGGGCGGGGTTGGTTGTCAAGGTCGTGCGCGAGAGAGAAAGGGATTTTCGACAAATCGCCGAGACCAAGAGAGAGAGAGAGAGGCTTGGATTAATAAAGAAGAGGAGTCAAAAAGAAATACTCCTTTTTTTTCCTACTGCAGGCTTGGCCCTCTACTTATATTAAATTTTATGATGACCGGGGAAGATTTTTTTTTGTTCTCTTTCACGTGATTTTATTATCATTAAGTGCAAAAAAAAAAAGAGTTCTTAATTCTACTGGTATGGAGACAATGGAAATACTTGAATTAAACGTAGATGATAATGTAATGCTTACCAAGTTTAGTTTTACACTGTATATTAAAGTCGGTTTTGTATTACCTTACCAAACAAAACTTGGTAATTGTTACATTTTCATATACGTTTCATTTAATAGATTATCATCAAGAAATAGTATCATAATTAAATTCATTTCCCAAAATAGTTCAACGCTCGTGAGAAATTACGGATTATTGCCTCCGAAGCGGGGATTTTTCGAATTTAGCCGTTTATTCCCAGTTCCCGACTGCCTCGACCTTATCTCGACAGCCCTCCAACGCGGAAACTTATGAGATAAGCGCTTATCCGCTGGGATTGGGGGTTGGAAGTGTCTTCACAGTTTGATCGATGGCAGGTGATTTGTTAAATTAAACGTAAAATGAGTTTTTTGCCTCCAAAAGTATTGCAATGAATGTCCAAAATGGTCTTTCTATTATTCAAATACAGGATTTTGGAAATATTACGCAAAGCAACATCAAATAATAAAATGCAAATCAGTGAGTTAAAAACATATGGGTACCAAATTAACATGTTATAGGCAATCATTCCTGTGAAGAAATTATCTGATAAGGATCGCTTTGCAAAATCTGCCTCATTAAAACATCCCGAATTTATTATAGCTCCAATTTTTTTAACATGTACAGCTAAAATGAGAAGAAAAAAAAAATCTCACGAAAACATAAAGAACAGGAACTGTTACGAGGAGCCAAAAGAGCTCCGGGAACATGAAAAAAAAAAAAAAAAAAAAAAAAAAGCGGACGTGACGCTGCGCGACGTTGGACGAAGATGAACATGCACGTTTGCGTTGAAGCGATT